TAAAAACCTTAATAAAGAGACCATAATGCAGAATGGGTCCTGTCAGTAACCTGGAATTCCTGATCCATATTGATCTGACCAATGTCAGTTGTTATTTTCATTGTTAATATTGCTTTACAAACCACACCACCATCACCAGCTGTTTGCTCCTTGAATGTCAGGCTGAAAATGAGCTAATAAGGCAATACCTTCCACAGAAGGTCTTCAAACCTAGGCTGTAGGTTGAACAGCAATTGCAGTTGCTCAGCTCAGTATCTTTTGCCAGAACTACATTTAAAATTTATTGCTTCCTTATTCTCTGCCACAGTACAGTGGAGCCTTGCCCAGGGACAGTTGTTTGTTGGGATCAGATTCTGCCCTACATTTATTTAATCTGTTTATGTAGACATGGTGACTTTTGGAGCTTTTATGGAAACAGTTATCAAGGATGTAAAGTATTTCAGACATTGTAGTGAATGCTATCAAACTATTTTATTTAATTAATTACTGCAATAAGAAGGGTGGAATATTACACTGAGACTTCATGTGAAGTCTTATATGTAAGAGTATCCCTAAACTTTTCACTTTAGGTATTTGCATATACCAGGCTGTTAAGCTGATGTCTATTCTACTGACAAAACCCTCACAGAGCAGCAGAACCTCTAAGTACTGGGAAAATACTCACCAAGGAATGAAGAAGTGATAAATAGTGCTCCACTGCATATAGATTTAATTTATTTGCTTTCCAAAAAAGATGGGAAAAGGACAAAAAACATGAACGCCCCTTCTCCCTTGCACTGATTTCTATAGTAAGCAATACAATGGGGAAAGTGAACTATTAGCAGAACTTTTATCAATATTCCCATACATAAACTCTATTCCAGTTTTTATCAGTACAGACTACAGAATCAGATGGAAAATTATAGCTTCTAATAAGTCTCTCAGAAAACAACAACTTCCCCCTACGAAAATTGGAGCAATGGTAGCTGGTACAGTTTTTCAGATTTTCATTTAAAAAATATTAGAATAAAAGAACTTACATAATTTCAACAGTCAGAATTTTCAAATGTAGTTTAAATGATATTTTAAATGCACACGGCACAATTTTCTCCTAGCACGACTAGTACAGAGTTTTAGACTTCAGTAAGGGATGTCTAAGCATCACTGTGGCTACAAGTGTTTTTACAAGAGTAAATTCCAGATTCTGTAAATTTTTCTTTAGGAAAATAGATTCCAGGAACTTTAACGCTCATTCAAAAATTATCAAGTAAAAAAATATTAATGATATACACTGATACTGGTAGTAAATACATCTCTGTGAGTGTCCGCCACAGCTACTAGCCTCAAGAATAACTCTCTTTTAGAAATACTGGGAAGCAACAAACAAGTAAGAAAAAAAATATATAGGCAACTATTTTTAAAAGTAGCAGTTGCAGATAAACAAAAAACAGTAATTGCTGCTATACAAATAATAAAACTAGGTTCCAAAGATATGTATGATCTAATATGCCATTTCACTAAATTACTAAATACGGTATTTTACATTATCAGTAGTATATTAGTAGGCTTCTTCATAGAAAAAATATGAATCAGTGCTTGCAGGACTAGGACCTGTCAATATTATATTTAGAAATCAAATAGATTTTAGTGTTACATGTTTTCTTTTCCCACTTTTTTCCCCTCTTGTACCTGTTAGTTTTTCTTACCTGGACGTACACAATCAGCTTTTAGGTTTCCAGCTTACCTGTTGTCCTTACCACCATTTACTGTTTCCATTTTTCACTCTTTTACTTAATCATCAGACCAATATTCAGGGTGACACATAATTTTAATCTGTGCCACTTCATTCCAGCCCAGCTAACTAAGCAACAGAGGCAGAGATAAAAGCCTCGAGTGCTGAAATCCACATTCTTGCAGTGCAGAGGAGCAGCGCCCTGTGTCCAAAGGTCAGCACCTGCATGACTGCACAGGGAAATGTGACTTGGAGCACTCACAGCCTCTGCTACTGCAGCAGCCCTGCAGATGAGGAGCCACAAGCACAGCCTGACATGGAGTGAAACTCCTTAGTGCAGCTCACAGGACCCTGGGCTCCATCTCAGCTGCATTTCCCCTCAGCACCGCTCTCAGCCTGGGAGGTCACAGCTCTCGGCTCCCGAAGGCACCAAGGAACACACACGTGCACTTACACTCCTGTCTGCCTGCAGGACAGCTGAGAGTGAACTGCAGTCACACCAGCCTTTTGGGGGAACAGCTCACACACATCCACAGAGCACATGAGCCCCGGAACAGTAATTATCTCAGAACTGAACAACAGAGGGAATAAAAGTACAGTTAACATGCTCTTGTCCTCTCAGACCTGCTGGTCCAATACAAAGTCACTCAGTGCCTTAAAATAAGTACAATGACCTGCAGAGGCATAATGAAAGCCAAGAAAGAGAGAGGCCTGAGTGTGGAAGAATCATGCAACTACACAGTGAGAGGACTGCTCAAGTAGGGAAGAGAACAGAAAAAAATGAAAGAATTAAAAAAAAAAAAAAAGTAACAGCAGCTTTGGCAGAAATCTTGGAAGTGCTGTATACATTGAATTTGACACTTAGTTGTACCTATCTGTATGAATTTCCTCCCCTGACCCGAGTTCTGCAAGCTGGACTCTGCTCATCTAAGAATCCTTTCACCAATATGAATCAGCTGCATTGGAGCAGAAAGTCTCCAGGCACACTGTCTTCATTAGCAATTAGCCACTCTCTTCAAATGCATGGTAACACGCCTGCTTCTCCTCCTGGGGGCCAGAGACATAGAAGTGCAACATAATGAGATGAGAAAGAAACAAGGAGATGCTTATCCTGTGCTTAAGAGAAGTAAGACATGAAATCAGGTGTTTCAGGTGCTGTTTCCCTGGAGGGTCTATAAAACACTAGGTTGTGTGAGTGAGACTTCTTACACCCTCACAGCACAATGAAGTTGTTATGGGCACTCTCATGTGGAATTTCTAACACCAAGGTAGCTGGGGAAATTTGATGGTATGGTGAGAAGTCAGTAGATGGGGCTTTGCAACTGGGAAGTAAAATTCCCAGTGAAGAATGGGGAGCAGAAGATCCTGCTGATTTGTTAGAAGTGCTCATTGCAAAACAAAAAAAAAAGCCTGAATTACATGCTCATTGAATGCTCACAGAAACTGCACAACAAATTTATGCAGCATTCTGCCTGTGACAAATGAAAGCATTTCTACAATAACTATATTAATATGATCTCACTGCTGACTCCAGAGATTCCCATGCAAAAGCACTTTTTAAAATTAAGCACTTTATGTGCCACACCTATGTTTTATCTGCAAAAACAATCACCCTATGATTCAGTAAATTTAGCTTATTTCTTAGGATAACAAAGTCTTCCTGAACTTCCTAATATACCAACAGTATAGTGTTCTGTCAGGGATGGCACAGGAGTTTAAACTCTACATCAAACTGACAACCAGTACAGTTTACACCTTCCTCAGTGTGATTGTCATTTCAGTCTTGGAAATTTACGCTCAGAACATTGTTTTCACAATAATGGATACTTTAGCTTGAAATAGTCTAGAAAATTCTGCATTCAAAACAACACTGATAACAAAACCCAGACGTGCTTGGTCTCCTTGAACCATTAAAGCTCTACTTAACAAACCACATACAGCTACATGGTTCCTGCTTTTTCTCTATGAATGACTCTAAAAAGACTAACATTTTATGAAGTCAGCTGGTAGAAAACATAGCAATACATGCTGAAACACAAACTAAGATAAAACTAGTTATATTTTGTAAAGTTTCTTGAAGTATTTTAGGTCCATGCCAAGATACCAGCTTTTAAAAGGCCAGCAGAATTTTATTGAAATGACCAATATGTATTTTGCAGGACAAAAAGAACCACCTCTGAATGAAATATTAGCAATAGGTTCCTAAAAGCATTCATCTGAAACGGTTCAAGTAATTGAAACACACGTGGGCTGTTTTACATGCAAGCGACACAGCCCTAGCACAGTGGAAACAGGCAACAGAATTATCCTCCGAGAGGATTTTATTTCAACCCAGAAACAACGCTAAGCCAAGTTCATAAACAAATGCAGAAAGAGCCGGAGCTCCTAATGACAACAACAAAGCTCAGAGCGGAGTGTCCCCTCGCGTACTCTCTGCCGTTCACACCTGCCCATGGCCCCTTGTTTTATCCTTTTTTTCTCCCGAACGTTCGGGACTCGCTGCCCAGCTGGGGCCGCGCACCGCCCGATCGCGTCCCTTCGGGGTTCTCAACTACACCTTACACACGAAAACCTTTCGCAAAAGAAACAGAATGTAAAGCATTATACGCTCAGAAAGTAATAACAAGAAAGAAAGTCTGTATGTTACACACGCTGCTCACCGCTACCCGTGCAGAGGAGCGCCGAGCCCGCTCACCTGCCGAACGCGCCCTCCCGCCGGCTCCGCTCGCCGCCCGCCCCCGGCCCCGCTCCCTCCGGACGCGGCGCAGGCAGCACCCGAGAGGCAGCACCCGAGAGGCAGCACCCGAGAGGCAGCACCCGAGAGGCAGCCCTGGCGGCCCCCGAGCCCGCTCGCTGCCCACCTGCCCCGCGGCCCGTCCCGCAGCGCCAGCGCCCCGCCGGCTCCCGCCGCCACCTGCAGCCGCGGGGCCGGCCCGGGCGGGCGGGGCGATGGCGGGGGCGGGCCGGGGCGCTCGGGGCCGGTCTCGGCGGGGCTGTCCCACACCTGACACCCAGGTGCGCCCCGCCTGCGCCGGGAGGTGGCGGGCGGAGAGGGAGCTGCACCGAGCGCTCCCTTGGCACTGAAGTTTTCTTCTTACCGCCCCTCACAGCGCGGCTGCTCCACTCCTCGCTTAAGCCCCTCTCAAAACTGTGGTGCTTCCTTTCTCTCGTCCCCTGGAGCCCCCGCCCGTACTCCGCCAGGCGCCCGCTGTGGCCGGCTGGTCCCTCAGTGCTGCTGCCCGACCCGCCGAGGCTCGGCGGCGTGCGCTCGGCCCCCGCTGGGTGTTACCTGTCCGTGCAGATCTCCGCGCAGCAGAGCCCCGCTGGGGCGGCGAGGCGTCCGCGGGAACCATCGGGGACCGACCCGGAGCCGCCGCGGCCGCTCCGTGTACAGGGACGAAGCGGTTAAAGCTGAGCAGCGCCGGGGTAGGAGGTTTGGGCCCTGCCGGCCGCCGTCCCGCCGTGCCCGCCCCGCGCCGCGCCGCCTGATTCAAAGCGGCGCCATGGCGGAGCAGGGCCTGGGCATGGCCTCCATGATCCCCGCGCTGCGGGAGCTCGCCGGGTAGGACGGGTCCGGAGGCCGCCGTGCAGGGCGTGTGTGCGCGGGGGCTGTGCTGCGCTGGGGGAGGCACGCCCGGCGTTTGTGGCGGGGAAGGGGAGAAGGAAGCTGCGAGGTGTCCTGCGGCCGGGCCCGCGCCTTCACCTCAGCTGTCCCTTCTCCCGCCACCTGCCAGGGCCTGTCCCTCTCTGCCTCCCGGGTGGCGCTGGCAGATCCTGACGGGAGCGAACTGGTGGCCTCAGAGCACCCGGTCTGGGGCTGAGTTTGCTGTGAGCGCTCGCCGAGAGCCTCCCGAGCTGGAACATGCCGGGCTCTGCAGGTTTCATGGCAGCACGAGCACTGTAGCTTTGTACTGCAGCAGGCAGCGAGCTCATGTGGAGGTACAGTACTGAAGATGTGACCCTACGAGCCCCGACTGCTGAGGGACAGGCTGCTCACTAAAACACGGAAATTGAAAAAAAACCCACCCCCCCCCAACCTCTACACACCACCAATAAATCAATTTGTATTTTTTGAAGACTTCAAGAAGAAAATCAGTGTTTAACATTAAGCTGTTGAGACAAACTTCCAAGTAATTATTTTTTACTTTAAAGTTGGTAACATCCAAATATCATTCTTTTAATTTTAGTGCTAGTCCAGAGGAATACAACACAGTTGTGCAGAAACCAAGACAAATACTCTGCCAGTTCATTGACAGAATTCTTACAGATGTAGATGTTGGTAAGCATTACATTCCTATCATTTAAAGTTGTCTGCTTTATACTTTAAGTAATTCCTGCCAAAATTAAAAGTTAAGAAACTTTAGAAAGTTCTAGTTGAATACAAACCATTTATGACTTAGGTTTAATAAAGTCAGTGATGAAGTATTTTCCATTGGGGTGTGAAGTTAATAAACCACACACAGACACCCCCCCAGGAAGGAGGGGTGAATGCAGTGCAGGGTTGTATGGACACAAATGCTCCCAACGTTGAAAAGCAGGAGTGTCCTGTAATGTCACTGTTCATCAGTAAAACAGCTTGCAGTTCTTAATATTGACATGTGTCTTTCAGAACTGAAATCTTGTCTGAATCTCAGTTTCTTTCTTGTGCTAACACTGGATAGGATCCCTGGGGGATCTGGATAAATCTGACATGATTCAGATACCTGTTTCAATGGAACAGCATTAGATATGTTCAGTGTTTTGTTAAACTTTCTGCTTCAGTAAGCTGAATTTACCATTTGAAACCTTTAATATTCTGGAGTTTGAAGCAATTCTCGGCATTGTTTCTCTAGCAAGGCTGTAAACCTCGGGAAACATCAAGTATTTGCTGTTCTTCACTCAACACACAGCTGGATAGACTTTTAAGTGAACGTTAATGCATTTGGGGTTAATAATATTTAATGAGTAATTTATACTTTCCTTCATACAGTTTAGAGTCACATAGAGGGTTTACAATATGCGTACAATTATCTTCATAGATAAAAAATATACCCAGAATTAGTAATTTGAAAGGTTTAATACCATATCATAGTATTTTATATGTGTTTTAAAAAATCTTTCTCATAAAGTGTGAACAAAATTTTTGAAGCGGTTTATTGCAGTGCTGATTTGAATATTGTCTTCTTTTTTTGTTTTAAAGTTGCCTTGGAACTGATTAAGAAATCAGATTCACAGCCAAGTTCTGTGATGTTGCTTGATTTTATTCAACATATCATGAAATCTTCCCCACTTATGTTTGTAAATGTGGATGGAAATCAGGAGGAAACTGAATGCAGTTGCATTGGTGAGTTTGTTGAAAATGTTTATGTTGAAGCTTGGTATTTTCAGGATTTAAAGTTGCAGACAGTGGGATGATCCAAAAGAACAGGAAGGGGAAAAAGGCAGATATGTAAGTTCATCATTATAAATTTTTAAGTGAATATGATGATAGAGTTTTATTATTGTGAATGGATTAACATTTGTGATAATGGAAATTTCTTAGGACAGATTTTGACATTATCCATTACCAGTGCATAGATATATTATTATACAGTGTTTATGAGATAAGCTGTACATGTACTCATTGCTTGAGGGTGTTTTTTTGATGGAGGAAAATGTCTGGAAATACCAGTGTAAAATCTGTGTCTTCCATTCCCAACACCATGTTATGCCCCCTTTTTTCTCTTTTTCAATGGAATCTGCTGAATAAATGTCCCTGTGAAGACTCTGTTTACTGAGCCTACATGCATTTATCTCAAGGAGTTTAGTTTTAGTGGTAAGCAATCTGCTCTTAGGGAGATTCTCAATTGGAGATTTTAGTTTTTATCTTAATAATAAAGATTTTTTTTTTTGTCCTAGAATTTAGTAACTGGATCATAACAAGGCTTCTCCGTATTGCTGCAGCTCCAAACTGCAACACATTGCACAAGAACATTTGTGATGTCATCTGCTCTTTACTTTTTCTGTTTAAAATGAAGAGTGGCTCCATTTTTGAAGCACTAACTAAAGACTTGCTGCAGCTTTTTCAAGACTTAATCATCTTGCATGAAAGAGATGCACAGAAGCATCTCTGGGGAGAAGGACTGGTCTGGCCGGTGACTGTACAGAGATTTTCCAGCAATATAAGTGACAAAGTGGGATATTTAAGACTGGCACCATTACAGCTGATGGGTATGCCAAATATAGAATATTTGGAAGTCGTATTAATGTCTATTCTGAGAAATATTGTTGCAGACATCTTTTTTGTAAGACAAGATATTATTCTCTGGAGGATAGGCTGCTCCCTTTTAGAGTATGGCAGTCCAAAAGTTAAAACTTTGGCAATGAAGTTTATGGTGAAGTTAATTCATTTAGGAGGACCTCCAGAACAGCTGGCCAGTGTTTTCTTCATAGTCTTTTTTGAAATTCTACAATCAGCACTTGAAATGGATACTGAAGAATCAGAACTCTTTGGAGAACCACTTTTACTGTTGGTGAGGACATTGCTGCCTTTTGAAGCAGATTCTTACAAAAATATTGAACCTGTTTACTTGAATATGCTGCTAGAGAAGCTCTGCTCGTGGTTTGAAGGGGATGTGTTTAGGTGCCTTCAGTCTGAAAAGCTGAAAACTGCTTTTTGCCATATGCTGCTGTATTTTCTGGAGTTTGTTCCAGCTGGCTATGAATCTGCCTTACAAATAAGAAAAGCCCGTATCAGTACCATATGTAGAATATTTGTGAATGTGCTTGGAACTCAGGAAGAACAAAAGGTAGGTTTATTTTAAAAACTGAATTTATTGTGTGAATAGATCATATACAAAAATCTATACCTATGCAAAGAAGAAACTCTAGGAAATGTAATTTTTAGTTGTGTGTTTGATACTCCTTTTTTCTCAACTGTTTCACGTTTGTGCAGGTCGGGGTTCTTAAATCTGTTGGATGTAGCTGGACTCCTGTTTTTCAGATGTATTAAACTTTCCATAAGCTATGCAGGCACAACTGTCTGTCCATAATCATATTATGAGATGGGAGTAAGGCCCAGAGTGCACTCATATGAAGGCAGCTTTGCAAGTAGTGTGCAGTAGTTTGAGATGCTCTTACTTTCCAACCATTTGCTTTTTAGTCATGTTTGTTAGGGACAGGTAGACAGAAAAGATTAAATTAAAATTGAGTCAATGGTTTAGGTTGGCTGGGACCTTTACAGGCCATCTAGTCCAACTCCCTGCAATAAGCAGTGACAGTTTCAACTAGATCAGGGTTCAGAGCCCCACCCAACCTGACCTTGAGTGTTTCCAGGGATGGGGAATCCACCCCCTCTCCAGACAGCATGTGTCAGTGTGTCACCACCCTCCTAATAAAACAGTTCTTCCTGATACTCAACCTAAATAAATCCTGTTTTAGTTAAGAAGCGTAACACGGTGTTGATAATGAGTTGTTGGTATGCTGAATGCCTTTATTCCATACACTCATCTGTGCATCCTACCTGTTTGTTAAACTTTGTGTGTCTGTGTGATGGCTTTGGCAGCAAGGTACTATGGCAGGAGCTGGAAAACAGCTGAACAAGCTGCATCCTCTCTGGTAGCACAACAGGAAACTTCATTGCTCGTAAGAGCTTTCATTTTGTAATTAAGATTTTTTGAACTGAAAGGTTTTTATGAACTTTTTTACCATTATATTTTGCAATTTAATATTTTAAGTCAGAAGCGATAATGCCACATCTTTAAGTAAGGCAGAGCATACATCATGGTACCTCTGTTTGTCCATCCCAGTATCTGGTGCCTCCACTCTATACAGCATTAAAAACACAAACAGAAGAAATCTTTGAGGAGATTCAGCAGAACCAGCTGGAGAGCTCCGATACTGACGGGTGGAGCAGCAGCAGTGATGAAGTTCCAGAGAAAAGACCACGACTGAGCCTATCCACAAAACATCCAAAGAAATCTCCTGCACCTTTAATGTATGACACTTAGTAACTATTTCTATAGTACTTTGGCTATTGAATAATAAATGACAACTTCTTGAGGCAGTTTCTTCTTAACAGATTGAAAGGGCTTCTGGGGAAAAAATCTAAATTATATTTTGAGGGATCAAAATCTACTGGTGATTTTTAAGCCAAACTTTATTGAAGAGACTTTTGAATGTGTTCAGTGAAAATTATTTTCATTTTTTCAAAGCTGAGAGCGTCCATGGTGTGACAGAATTGTGTGTGGCTGTGCTGTTACAATGGATGTACTTACAGCAGGTCTAGTTAAGTCAAGTTGTGCTCAGATGAACAAAACCAGTTCTCTCAGTCTCTGCTTGTGCTGTGCTCCCTGATTACCTTGGACTTGCGCCAGCAGTTGATCTCTTGTCTTTGGGCACTCAAAATTGGCTCTGGCATGCTGCACTCCAGGTGTGG